TGCTCTCTTTGGCTTCCCAGATCTTATCTAGGAATGTTCATATGGGACTGGGCATTAATTTTTGCTGCCATCCTATCATAAGTAGACATTTGCTATCTACTGCACTTAAAATATCTCTGAGAACTGTGACATCTGCTTGTCAAATACAATGCCCAGGAGGTGCTGCAGATCCCAAAGCATCCCTAAGGACAGAAGAGTATAATTTTTTACCTCTAAAGTGGGGAATGGCAGGCTGGTCTTGCTCATGATGGCTGGAGGATGTGGAGAGTCTCCAGATGTTCATCTCCCATGAAGAGATTGTGGTGAAGTCTTTCCTTTTTTATGTCTTCCCTCACGTTCTAGTTCCCTGACAGCGGATGTCTGAATGCGTGTCTCATATGGGAACTGCCGGCTCTGGGTTGCTGGCCGTCCAGAAACAACCCTCTGCTTGAACTGAGTGAAGTACGGAGAGGTTTCTTGTTTGCTGATCTTGCTGTTTGGCAGAAGGAAAGGTTTTTTTTAATAATGAGACTAAATTAGTAGTTCATGTAGGGCATAGTCTTCCCTTTTAGACTGAAAGCTGGATTAGTTTGATTTACAAATGTTCACTTCTGTTTAAGAAAGCGGAATATTTTCCTCTCCCCTGCAAAATTATTCCATGTGTTGTGTGTATGTTATCGCTCTTCAGTAACTGTGGGGTTTAGAGAACAAGGACATATCAAGGGAAATTATCAGTTTACATCCTTGTTCTGATTTACCAAGGAGGCACAAAAATATAGTTCCTCTTTCAGTTTCAGGTGTGAAGGTTAGACCTGTAATGTTCATAATGCTTCCTTAACCCCAAGGTGGAAAAAAGATTAGTAAGTACACAAGCTCTGTCAATTTCATTGTAGTTCTCCTGAAGAACCTAAAGGAAAAAAAACTAAAGAAAAAATTTCTTTGCCACCAATTTGGGGAATAATTTTCTACCTTGTTGTCACTGTATTTAGAGCTGTATCTTCTCTTGTAGCTGCTGAGCAACTGATTAGAAATCTCGGAGTAGATCTCATTGTAGAAAAAGGATTTTTTTAGTCATATTTTGTAATACTTATTTAGGGGTTCACTGGTCTCTTAAAGAGACATTGATACATGAAATTAATAATTTACTTCTGTTTGAATTTTCAGAGGAAACAAATTCATACCTTAACTATAGTGGAGATGCACTATCGCTGTATTGCATACACGTAATCCATGTCTCAGATAGTCTGTGTTCTTGCCATGTATTCTGTTAAGGACCTAGCAGATAGCTCACTTCTTACAGAGGCATCCCCTGAGAGGAGGGAGGGAAACTGAACTTCTTGAAAAGGAGGAGGTGGTAGGATCAGAACTGAGATGTAAATGGGAGATGAAAATGACCCTTCAATGAAATACCTCTGATTTACCACATGTGTGCATAACATTCTGGCTCTGAGCTAGATGGTTGTTGATGATTTTTCTTGCTTCAAAAGATAACCCCATAATGCATGAAAATAATATAATACCTCAGAAAGATCATGGAGTGTGCGATTGTATTAGTTAGAAGACTGCAAACACAGAAGATTTCCCCAGAGAGTAGCACTGCATCTTGCAATCTTTTTCTAGAAAATCTTATGAGTAGAAAAATGAAATTAAACATTTCCCGATCAGTTTCTAATGTGCCACTGTAATAACAGGAATTCACTTCATAGAAATCTGTCCAATTTCGCATCAGTGAGCGACTAAAAATCTTTAATGATTTGATGAACTCCAGCTTGGCTCACAAAAGGCAGAAATCAGTGACAGAATAGAAAGAAAAATATATAGCTATGGTACGTTCTGCTTGAAAGAGATTTTTATTTATTTATTTATATGTTTAAAGCACTGATTTCTGAGTAGTTTCCTTTGGAAAGCTTTTCTTTTTTTTCCTCTCTCCTCTCTTTTGTTGTTGCTAATTATTTGTTCAGTCACATAGGATATAGCTTGCTTTAAACTCAGTGAAGAGTGTTACTCCTTTTTCTGTTAATGCAGAGAACAGTACATGTGCAAACACAGTACCTCAGTGGTATTCTGGCTGAAAAAAATGTGCAATGTATTTGCTTTCTGTCATAGAATCATGGAGTTGCCAAGGTTGGAAAATAACTCCAAGGTTATCTTCCATCACATCTAGACCCCTGTTGAGCTGGCTGTGTAGTGAGAATGAAGAGGGGTTTAGCAGCAGTGCCAAGCTCCTGGCTGGTAAGCTCAGAGAGAAAGCATCCAGCATAGGGGAATTTGCCTTCTGGGAAGTGTGTGATGTTTCTGGAGCATGAGACTTGAAGACTCTGTCAAAACTCGAACCCAACCACTTACATAGTAGAATATTTCCTTTAAAGAGTAGGTCTAAAAGGAAGAGAACTAACATGATACAGTTTTACATTAATCCAATGTCTGTGCCTTTACATATACTTGGAGAATCCTAGGGTTATTTGGAAGGAGAAGGGGCTGTTGGATATGAGACTGTTCCTCAGTTACTGTCATCACAGAACAATTTCTGCTACACTGAGGCTGGGATCATGCAGTGCTGCAAAAGACAGAATGCTCTAAAGAAAGCTATGCTTTCCCTGCTGGCTTCCAGGGTGTCTCTATGGACCCCTGGCAGTTGATCTTGTACATCTTGTTCTGTCCCAACTTAAATGGCCTTGTAAACCAGGAACGCCTGTTCCTTGCAGTTTGCTGGCTGCTGGCATACAAGCCTGTTTGCCAAGCCTTCGGGGGCTGAAAGGTGTCAATGAGGAGTGCTGACTTCCCTTTTGTGTTATTAGTGTCGCCTATCAGTGTGCAGTTTTATTTGCAGAAAGAATTTCTGTTCCTTGATTAAGAGAATGACAGAAATAAATGAGTTCGTAAAAAAAGATATGCAGTTTAGGAAGTGAGGGGAAGTAACTGTAGAAAGCTATTTTGAAAATGTCATGTAATCTACAGTTAGGTTTTTTCGTTCTTTCCTGGATCTGTATTTTACGAAATCGGTGAGTCAAGCAATTGTCAGTAATATTTTTGTTTTTTATTTTTTATTTTTTATTTTTTCTTATCTTACACGAACTATATGCATCTGTGTATGTATTACAACTGAATGATAAAAATACACATATAGCAGCAGGAGGAAGAATTTTAGCTTTATTTAGAATTAACTTGCAGTAAGTGTTTACTAAGTGCATCTGTCATATCATTATGGATTTGTGTTGCTAGATTCTTATGTTGGGAATTCTATATCTTTTTTTTTGATACCTGATGACGTTGAACATTTTAATTTTATTATTCTCATTCAGTGATCTATTATTCTCATTCAGCAATCTATGTAAGCAGTGTGGGACTTAAGTACAGAAATATCAGAAGTATTTACCAATGCTTTTTTTTAGTCATTTAGCAAAAGCACATCTACAGTCTATTTTAATACATTTTAGATGAAGCATTTTATGTATCGTCAGGCATATTCAATTTCTTTCAAAAAATAAACGTCACTGGATGTGAGACAGTGCTTGTAATGCAGTTATGCAGTTAATTTCTCAAATGGAAATCTTGCGCTAAATACTTTTGAATAAAACAGGTACAAATGTGGATAAATCAAGAAGGCTTTTGTCATACACTTCAGGATGATGGTATCCTGTGTGTGTTCCTTGTGTGAGATTCTATAGGTATGCCTGCACCCTAAAGGAGGTGAAAGAGAAAAGAATGCTATGGAAGCCTTATGCTATATGCTTGGTCTCTTGAGAATCCTGCTCAGCAGTCGGATCTTTGCTCTTCCATATATCTTCAGAGTTTTCAGGCATTTTGATTAGCAAGTAAAAATGTACTCACTGCCTTACAACGTAACAAGCGGATGCCTTTTCATCATCAGGGAAAGAGAGATGTGCTCCCTGTTGTTTGAAGGCAACTATCAGAAAGGTGGCATCTCTGAAGATGTGTCTAAATTAGTTCGTTCAAGACTTTGCCAATTCCTACTACTCAGTAGCAATCCTGTTCCTCCATTAGGGGGTATTCAGTCTGATTTAAAGTTTATATGGACCCTCCCCTCCATACCCCCTGAAAAATATAAGTTTTTCTTATTCGCTTTGCACGGAGATACGTGTGCTGGAGAGCTTTCCTAGGCAGGGCTCATCCTCTGAGGCACAGATTGGTTGGGAAGAGATCTGTGACATTACCTCATGCTCTGCAATGCTCTTTTCTCAAGGCAAAAACATGTAGTTGGCAAAACATTGTTGGACTGGCACGAAAAGTGAACAGCTAGAATTGTGGTGGTCCCAAGGCAGAACCTGATCCTGTACAAAAGGAAACCAGCAGAGTATGAACAAACTTATCAGAGCATATCTGATGCTACGTGATTCTGCTGTTTTGCTCATGGAGTACTGTAGTCAAGAGTCCTATGAAAAGGCTGTGGACATGAAAGTCTCTGGGAAATGGCATCTCCAGTAGTGCTTCTCCATCATGTGACCTGCCATGGCAGAGGTGTGCTGGGAGAGAGAATAAGAGACATGAATGTTCTTGATATATTGCATTAAATATATTCACACTCTCGTTGCCTCTTAGTTTGTCTCTGGCACAAATGCTTTCCCTTGTTGCCAGACTCTTACAGTATTCTGTTAACTAATATAATAGTATATATAGCACTCGCAGAAGGCAGTAAGTCTTCCTCCTTTCCCTTGTTCCCTCTCTTCCCCCTTGGATGAAATAGAGGCATTTCTAGTATGTGTGTTACTAGAGGCTGTCAGATGCATGTTCATTAACACAGTATACTGTAAGAATTCAGGGCTATGTCTGAGTTTCAGGAGTAGTTGGTATCATCCAGAGGTGGAAAAGGTATGGCTGTCATAGCTCTCCAAAACTTATAATTTATAAATTATCACAATTGTAATATATATTATGTTTACATATTTATCTTCAAAGATAGGACAAATATTCTCTGTATGTATTTATTTATTCATTACTTCCTATGGCAGTATAGAATATTGTTAACTTTTCTCTTTACTTCTTCCATCCTGTTTCTGCAGGTCTTGATGATTGCTTGCAGCAATATATTAAGAATTTTGAGAGAGAGAAGATTAGTGGCGACCAGCTACTACGTATTACTCATCAAGAACTGGAAGATCTTGGAGTCACACGAATTGGCCATCAGGAACTTATCTTGGAAGCAGTAGACTTGCTCTGTGCACTGGTAAATTTCTTGGGGCAAAAGGGGAGGAAATGAATGGTGTTTTGCATATTTGCAGTTTGTGTATTCGAATTTCTAGTCCTAAAAAACATTTAAACAGGTGCTTTTCAATGTATGAACGGTTTAACATTTTAAACCAGAGTCAAGATAACAACATCTACTGCTAGGACAGTGCTTGTTAAATTTGCATCAGAGGTTTAAGACTTCCATATCTTTGTTTGTAGGAAAAAAGCCTACCTAAAATCACAATGAGACTAGACAGTGCTATGTTTGGAATGTAAAATAGTTAGAATGAGAGAAATCAGAATGTAATAATTGAGTGCCAGTTGCCCTTTAAAAACCAACCAACCAACAAACAAAAAAACCTCATGATATTAATCGCGGAATCACAGAATTGTAGGGGTTGGAAGGGACCTCCAGAGATCATCGAGTCCAACCCCCCTGCCAAAGCAGGTTCCCTACAGCAGGTCGCACAGGTAGGCATCCAGGCAGGTCTTGAACATCTCCAGAGAAGGAGACTCCACCACCTCCCTGGGCAGCCTGTTCCAGTGCTCCGTCACCTCACTGTAAAGAAGTTCCTCCGCACATTTGTGCAGAACTTCCTATGCTGCAGTTTCCGGCCGTTTCCCCTTGTCCTGTCTCCACTCACCACTGAAAAGAGACCGGCCTCGCCATTCTGCCCCCCACACCTCAGATATTTATAGACCTGGATCAGGTCCCCTCTGTCTTCCTTTCTCAAGGCTGAACAGACCCAGTTCACTCAGCCTTTCTTCATAGGAGAGATGCTCCAGGCCCTTCACCATCTTCGTGGCCCAACCATTAACCATGTTATTTAACCATGTCATATAACCATGTCATTTTTCACTGATCTTTTATGCACTCCCTCACTGTATAGTAAATTATTTTTTAGATGATTATTTAGCTGCTTGTATTTCACAGTAGAAAGGATGAGATACTGGAGTGGAAAAAAAAAAAAAGTAAATAATACATAAATCCTCAATGCAGAGGGATTTTGATAATGCTCTTTTCTGTAAGGTAACATCATGCAAAACTTTGATTATCCCCTCAGTGAGAGGTGTAGTGCTAACTTCACTGTTCTTATGAACTTCTGCATGATTGTAAAGATTGGGCACACTGTCTGCATTCGTTGCTGTAGAAAGAATTGTGAACAGCTCTGTTAAGATGTACTTGACTGCCTAAAATGGAGTTTTGTAGTTTCTAATGTGGATGATTTTTCCAAGCTTCAGCAGCAGCTTTAAGGAAGCCGAATCTCTGTAGAGGAAATCAAAGATGATACATGGAAAGGTTCCTTAAAAGGGCTTGTGGATTCTCAGTACTCAGCAGCTTTTCTGAATATGATACTATTGGATCTTTAGGATTGACAAAGATTGTACAGGCTTTGGATTTTCTTCTCTAGGGCATTATGTTGTGGAGTGGCTCCGTGTGATGTTAACTCCACCATTTTTAAGTGATGGAAAGTTGTAATCCAAATAAATAAATAATAAATAAATAAAAATTGCTATGGACATACAAGAAGACAGTCACAAAGTACAGACCGTGCAAAGAGAAACAAGAAAGGAAATACTGTAATTAACTGAGACAAAATCTAAGGTAGGGTGAACACTGAGGACAGTTCTTTCCAAGGGAGACAGATCGTGATTCTTTCAAATGTAACCTATTTTCACAGAATGAACCTTGTTTATTAGCTGAAATTTCCTTTTCCCCCTGGATATATAATTACAGATGTTATCATTAGACAAACAGACACATCTTGTATTTGTAGTTCCCTTTTATGAGACAGTAGTATGTAGAACTAAATTGTACATAAAATAAGGAATTTTTAATGAAAGCTTGCAATGCATCTTAAATTCATGCAAAAAGTCTCTACCTTCTCGGTCCATATGGCGTATAGTGTTGTCTGCTTTTCTGAGTTGGTTTTTAAAAAAAACTTTATCACTGAAACACAATAGCAAGCATTCAGATTTCAACTTCTAATTTAAGTGGAGGCTTTTGCAGTCTCACAATTGGCTGCTGATGGCTCCTCAGGGACAGAAAATGTGATTGTTATATTGATTTTAGTGGACTTAATTTAAATTTATTGTTCACCAATCGGATAAACCTCTTAGGAAATTTAATTCAGAGACAATCCTTTTGGCTATTCTGGTCTTATACTTGCAGGCTTTCTTTTTTTTTTTTTTTTTATTGCATCAATAAGTATCTGTCCTGGTTAGTGCTTGCCTGTTCTTCTGAATTAGCTTCTAATGTGGACTGTATGTTTATGAGAATGCTAAACCTATAAATCTTCAGCACAGGACAACTGCTTGTGCAGGTGGTCACTGTGCTGGGTTTTTGAAATGCAAGTTACCTGACTGTTTCTCCTGTTACACTGGAGTTTAACAGAGGATTCACAATAGAATTTGCCATGAGGCAAAGATTCGATCCAAGTGAATTAAGACCTAATTCGATGTTGGAAATGATCAATAGTACGATGGGATAGAAACAGTAATATTAATTTTGCCTTGCGAGCATAATCTCTGATTCTGAACTAATCGTGTCCAACAGATTGCTTTTGATTCTCCCCTCCATTCTCTCTGAGTTGGTGAACATCTAAAGAGGCTTTTTTTTTTTTTTTTTTCTCCCCCCAACTAAGAACAATTGAGGAGGACAGAACCACACCTCCTACCATTCCTGCTCCCACTCTATGGGAAGAGGTTTTTAAGACAGAGACACCATTGGTGAGGGAAGCTTCTGTGTCAGCTGATGTGCTTAGGAGATGCATCCTTCCTGTCCCTCTCCAAGGAGTTTTATGGAGAAGATTTCCTCTGACAATTTCTGCTCTATAGCTGTGGTTGTGGCAAATGGCAAACTGGCTGCTTGTGTTGCATGTCTGCAGTTTGTGGGGCAATGTTTTCTTTCTGGAGGAAAATGAAGGATCTGGTCAAGTATGTTTGGTGTGGGCCTGGGTCCTACTTGCCTCAGACAGGCTGTGGAATAGTACTAAAAAGACAAACTGCTGGCCACAGTAATAATTGGGAGCCACTTATCATAAAATCATAGAAGTACCAAGTTTGGAAAAGACCTTCAAGATCATCTAGCTCAACTGCCCATCTACCACCAATATTTCCCTTTTAAACTGTGTCCCTTAATACTACATCTAAATGTTTTTTTTGAACACCTCCAGGGATGATGACTCCACCACCTCCCTGGGCAGCCCATTCCAGTGCCTGACCACTCTTTCATAGAAGCTTTTCCTAATATCCAACTTGAACCTTCCCTGGCACAACTTGAAGCCATTCCCTCTTGTCCTGTTGCTCATTATGTGTGATTACTTTTGGTAGTGTTCTTTGAAGAATGTTCTTTTTTGACAGAAGTTGGTAGGTAGCTGTGGTTTCTCTCAGTATTCCCATCCTGTCATGAGCATTTGCAACAAAGGGATCCTCCAGTGTTTGTTAGCTGATAAGAGAACAAATGCTGGACTATGTCACCATCTCACTTGAGTCTCTCTTGGCTGACAATTGCCATACTGTGCTGTTGACGAGAGCAAATATCCTGGGGGTGAGATACACAGGTTTTCTTTTCCTGTGATACTACAGAGGAGAGAAAGACATGGCTCAGCTGCTACTGCTGTTACAGATCACACTTGCTAATAATATTGCATGCCTTCTCAGCTGAATGTGTCCCATGTAATTAATGTGTTTTGTATGTTTGCACTCTTCTATAGATTATCTTGCTTCCCCCGCCTTCTTTTTTTTTTTTTTAATTTAATAGAAAGTTTATGTCAGAAAGGGCAACTTGAATGAAACGTGCTCTGTGCTTAAAAGAAAGAAGGTCTGTGGTGGTATTTCATTGGTAGGAAGATGTTATGTGGTTTTTGGGTCAGACGTTGAGAAAATATCATGATGGAGCTGCTCCTGCAAGGTTACTCTATTTCTAGCAAGACACGTCTCTTCTCCCTCCCTTTTTGTTCAGTTAGACAGGAAATCCAGACCATACTGGTGACACCATTAGATTCCTGTTTGATGTGGATGTGCATGTTTATTCACATGACAAAATCTCAAAAAAATATTTGACATCTCAGAAATTTGTAAACTAATAAACTCCATACCAAATGTGAAGATTCAGGATAAATTGCAATGAATTAGCTGTTATGCTATGTTTCCTGTGATTTTGGTTGATGAAGAAGATGCAAATAGTTTCATTTGATTATAAAAATTTTCATTTTTAAAAATGAGGCCATATTTAAAAATATGATGTGAAGAAAAGTCTGCTTAGAGAACTTCACAAATGACTTCTGAACTATTTAAAATTTTCTTTAAACAAAAGAAATTAGTAAAGTCCTGTGAGTTTGCAAAAATATTTTTCAGAAAGCCTGAATTTATGTATTAAGTAAGATATTCTTACTTAAAAGGAAAACAAAATGGTTTTGCTTTATACAGGATATTGGTTTTAGTTCTCATTTCATACTGGTTACTGAAATCGGTTGTGACTTCACAGGAAGTCATTACACACTGGATATTTCAGTCTGTAAATAGGAGAGATTGCAGCGGATGAAACAGCAATGTTACTTGGCAGAGACTTGTCATTTACCACTAATACAAAACGTTTAAGTGCAAATGAATGTGAAAAATAGATCTACTTCACCCCCTGAGTGATTCAGTTTTTTTGTAAGAATTATGTCCTTTATCTTAATATCATCTTCTTGCCATTTCTCACACAAAAATCCTTTCCTTTGCCCTTATCACTAGCCAAATCTTAGAGCTACTTTGTCAGTAATAGTGAGTATTAGACTTAAACCCTGTAGTGCTAAATGAGGAATGCTTCATTCCAGAATAGAAGCTTGTTTATACTGTAGTTAGGATTTATTGTTAATATTCTGCATGCTCACGGCAGAAGAATTGCCCTTTTTTTTCTCTTGCCCTTTGCAAGTTAAAGTTCTACTTATCTATCCGCTGCTGCCTTGTCTTCAGCCTGAAATAACGTACTATGAAGAAGGAAATTCTCAA